GGCAAAGGCAAGAATTTGGGTGGACCACGTGAGCAAGAAGATTATACCTGCGTTCTACGCATATCTCCAAGCGCAAGAGCCCGATAAACAGGAAGAAGGAAAGAAAAGACTACTGGGAGGGTTGGAAAAATACGTAAGAGCAATGGCCCCGTCATCCTCTGGACCCTACTTTTTCGGCAAGCAATTCACGGTCGCCGATATTGTGTTGATTCCATGGGTATTGCGATTCTCCTCTGTCATGAAGAAGTACCGCAACTTTGAGTTGCCTACCTCAGGAGGGGAAGGGGATGTATGGACGCGATTCAAGGAGTGGGAGGACGCTGTTATCAATAGGGATAGTGTGAAAAACACCAGCTCCGAGGAAGCCAGGTACTTCGATGTTTACAAGAGGTATGCGGATAATACCACACAGAGTGAAGTGGCTATAGCGACGAGAGCCGGAAAGGCCCTTCCTTAGAATCGATACGAATTCACCTCCAGCAATGCATTCTCGCTGAGTGCAGAGGCTTGGAAGGGTTTATTATGTGTAGTTATCAATCCAATTCAGAATCTAAAGTCATAATGTTCTTGCACATTCTCTTTGTGATTACATTTTTGGTATTTCGAAACATACAACCGATTTACTGCGACAGAAGGGATACGAATGATTGATGTGAGCGGTGCCAAAATGCGTCTAGCATCCTTGAGACGCCGTAGCATTTTGGAACCCTCGCTCCATAGTTTGATGAATGAAAAAAGTAGTGCGATGTCTGGATATAAAAGGACTTCACAAAGATGTGGATAAATGTGTGGGTAAACCGGAGAGGTTGACTAGGAGTTAATGTGTTGTTGAAACACAAGGTTACAAGGGTTCGGATTAATCATGATCCAAAAAACATAGTCCAGGAAGCATCTCATGCCCCGAAGCTGAAACCTTCCTGAGGGGCTTGAACACCAGACACGAACTGTGATATGGACGTTATTAGGGCAAGATTAAAAGACAAGGAGCATAAATACTGACCGAGTATCCATTTTCTTGGCCATTTGGTACCATCTCGGCTTCCTCCTCATCAGGGAAGTACTAAGTTAGACATCAGTGAATGATCTCCA